TTATTTATATAGCACTAGATGTGTTATGTTATATCTATTTTACTTCTATTTTTAACTTCATGTTGTGGATACCAGACCTGTAAAAAGTATTGAACTGTCCATTCAGGACTTTTTTTCAGACCATTCTAAATCATTCTTTCTGAGTTTTAATTTAGGAAAAAACTTGGACTGTCATTATTTTTTATGGCCTCTCTACAAATGCATTGAGGGAAACGCAAAAGGGAAAAATGAACCTCTTGTTTGTTCATCTAACTGTTTTTACAGCAATTTAGTTGGTCACAACGCATTTAATCATAAGTCACTTTATGGAGACACTTCAAGCAAATCATACAGACAGGTTTGGTTTAGTTTAACAAATTATGTCATAAGTAACAAACTGCTTTTATATTTATTCAGGGTGATTAATTAACATTTATAATTAATAATTGTCTTAAAAAAGGTGTGATAAAAACAGAGCAAGATGGACAAATGTCCAATGTACGTTGTGTAAAAATATTAGTGAGAAGATGAATAAATGGTTTGAATAAGTTTTCTGACTTATCAACGCTAATTGTTCCAGTCATTAGAGAATAATCCCTGTTTTCAACGTGGTTTCACAATCTTTTCTTTTGGGGAGGGATTCAATAATGAAGCCATGGAGTTTGGCTTGCATTAAACTGGGTCAGTATTAAGTATACTGCTAATGTTCAAATTTAAAGAAAATGTTAGTGCTCATTTACATAGCTGAATATTGTAGAGGACATGGGCCACTGACTTAGGTGCAGTGTTTATGAACTCGTGTTAAAAAGGTTAAGCCTCTTTAAAACACATATTCAAGCATATTCAGAAAAATGTATCTGCTCTTGTACAATGTACAACATTAGATGAAACATAACCTTACTTATAAAACACATTACATGTTCAATTGGTTTATGTTTTATGCAAAAAGCGTGGTCAAAAATCAACCACATTTTTCAGTTTCCATTGAAGGGTAAGTAACACCCTGTCAAGCTAATTAAAGGCACTTAATGAAGCGATCATTAGTCAGCTTAAGTACCTCCACAAAAGCATTTTGGCAGTTTGCTATTGAACATAACACAAAGTCAAAGATGGAACATGTCACCAGTGGTCTAAATAGGGAAAAACCTGTTGCTTCTCATGAATCTGAGTGATTTTGAGGGCATTTCCTCTCAATATTCATAAGCTGGAAACATCCAAGAGAGCTGTAAATCTTCACAGGAGTTGACATCCCACCAAGTTTACGCTAAATTGGGACTGGCAAGCTAAATGTCTGGCAGCCTCTGTTTGAAGGTCAAATGTTACAAATCATTAAAGTGCGTCTAAAAAAGGACCGGAAAGGAAGAATATGGAACAGCTCTTCCTTTAGAAAGAACATGGCAGCAAAGATGGATTTAAACAAAGTCTAATATTTCAAGAAAAAATGTCCTGATGAGAGACAGAGCAATCATTAGGGCATATCATCCTTGCACTGGTCTCACCATGTTGCCCATAATCAAACAGTCTGAATCCCTAAAGTCTCTTCAAATGTAAGTATGCTATTCAAAATTTGAGGCCATCTTCCCGACAGCTAAGACTCAGCAGAAATTGGGTCATGCAAGAGGATAGTTAACCCAAACCGGCCTGCAGATCTACGGCTTAAAAAAAAAAGAAACTATAGATGTTCTGTAGATGACCTGCTCAAAGGCTCGACCTCAACCTGATTAAAATGCTGTAGTAAGACCATTAGAGAGAGGATAGAAAACAGATGTCTGCAACACTCTGAAATACACCAGGGTAGAATTGGACAAAACACATGAGAGTCTAATTAGGTCATGCTAATGAAGTATTCTTCAACCTATCTGAGCTAAAAAGAGGTAGATAAAATATTTAAAATGAAGTTCAAACAGTTGTTTAACCCCCTGCATCTGGAGTTTAGTTAAACTTTTGTTAAATAAATTAACAAAAAGTGATTTACTGATCAAAACCTCATAATATTACTACTTTATCATTTTACAGCAGGTGTATTTTCTTTCTGTTATGATTAATATATTTGTCCATCTGTTTTCATTCAGAAATGATAACAGTTTGTCTCATTTGTTTCTTTTATTGCTTTGACAGCAGTTTTGGGGAAAGTCTATGAGTGTTTCCATCATTGCAGGTCAGAGAAACTTTGTATTAGAGCGTATTAATAAAAGAATATTAAGAGTTATCGCTGGTCATGCTTGGGGGATTTTTCTGAAGATGTTCTGAAGGTGTAAAATATTTAGTGCTAATGAGGATATAGTAAGCTGACACACCCTAATTGCTTGTGTGCTTGTTATGTTCCAGGGTGATAAAAAAGGTAATAACCACCCAAAGTTATAATTAATTTTCTGCAGCTCTATTTTGAATTTAACTTTAATATCCCTGCCTTACAATAGGAGCTGGATTTGAGGAAGTTATCTTTACAAGCAGAGGTTATGTTTAATTCAGTGGGCATTCCAGCCGCCCCAAACTGTATTTCACTGTTCATTGACGTACCATGGGATACAGGGTGCTGAAGCCAGGTCTGAGTCAGCATGCTTATGAGGTGCACAGCATGCATAGGCAGATTTGACCGGTCAGTAGGGAGGAAGATTATGCTCTACAAAGATCTGTGTGCTAAGCATACACTTTAAAGTGATCATAGGTATGTAATTGGTTAAAAAATCAGACATCTTGTTGCTCCTGAAGCAAAAGGCTGAGCAGCACTTTGCTTCTCAGTAATAAACCTGAGTGAATTCTGCCAAGATTAGCTATCATAGTGTTTTCAGAGCATCTCATATATGTTTGTATAGGTACACACGGACCTAAGGGAATAATTATTCTGCTGTGTTCGGCTTTCTAAAGCATCAGTCAAGGTTAATTAATCATATTGTGTGGTGTGATCCCTCATGTAATCTTTTAATAACTGCACTGTGAGAGCAGATTACAGATTTCTCAATGCAACACTGTTTGGGCGCATTCGCAAAGGTACTGCAGAGCAGCACTCTCCAGGGTAAGAAAAAAAAAATATGATCAGCTAGATCAGTTAGGGAAGGCTCATTAAACCATATGTATTGCAGCTTTCCTTTACTCACATTTTCAGTGTCTGAATTATGTTCGGCTCTAACTAAACTTTATTTGTTAGCTGAAGGATCAATAATTAATTCGACAATGATAAAAATATATACATATATATATATATATATATATATATTGCAACACTTTGCCATGCTGGTTGCTAAATATGTAGGTTTTGCATGTGCAATCCTGACCTATCCATGCATCATGCGAGCCATGATCATGTCCTTTCCCTGACTCTCCCTGAGAGACGAGGCTTGAAGGCATTGACCATTCAATCACCCTCTTTTCACCAGTGCCACAGTAACACCTTCCTGCACAAATATACCAGACATGAGCAACAAAGCCTGCAACCCCTGCCTCGTTCACTTCCTGGCATTCAGGCTATCTAAAAGTAAAAAAGGGGGCTTTTTCAAGGTCACTGCACATTTAGGGAAGCTTAAAATAGAGTCAGACATTGACAAACCAGGGCTCACAGTAACTGTCAGCAGATCCCAGGAGATAGAGAGGAGATGTATTAAGTTCAGCATGAGCCCTTATGTGTTTGTGTATGACTGTAATTACTACCATACATCAAGCCACAGGAGCAACCAGCCTGTGACATAGAGCATTTAACACTTGAATCACCAAGTGATGTGCAGAGCACTTACAGTCTATTTACTGGTTAAGCCCTAGCACTTTTACAGTATGAGAATACAGAGACCAACCAAAACACACGCCCTGATTACACAAAGGGAAAGCACATTATAGTAAATAAACTACACTTATTATTTTTCCCTCCAAATAAGGTATGTTGATGTGCTTTCACAGGGGCTGATGCTAGAAATATAGGATCAGCGTGAGATTCTTCTGCAAACTGCAATAAAATCAGTGTCATTTACATAACTCAAAGCAACAAAAGGCATATAATTGTTCACCATGTTTACATCTGATGACTCTTTATTGCCACCTTGTGGTAAAACTTTAAAAAGCACAATTTTACACAAAACAATAAAAAGTAATTGTGATTAAGCTAAATTAAAAGGCCAGAAGGGGATTACAGTAATAAAGACAATTAGGGATACAACAAAATTGATTTAGATACATGAAGGAAAACGATAAAGTAAACATGCAGTTACAAAATTTCATTGTTAGAAAATATATGTGCCAACCAAAAAACTGTTATTAAGAATAGAAGCAAAGTATACATTTTCTGTATGAATCAGCTGGGATAGATGTAACAATAGATTTTGAGTAAAAAAAAACAAGCACTGCAAATATTTACAATAATGAGACTACACAGGCTTATTGCTGTAATAAAGAATGCAAGTTTAACTTTGTGTAGTCTCATTTTAAATAGCTCATACCTCAGGCAGATTTAGATTTAAAATCGTTTAATTTTTTTCATTCACTGGCAAAGGCATATGTAAAAAATATAATACAACTATTTAAACAGATAATCAGTCTAAACTTGTTTTTATTTGTGTTTTGGTAAAATAAGGCTTGTAAAATCTATTGATCTCCTTCACGGAAATAATAGAAAATGCATTCTTGTAATTGCTAACCCTTTTGTTGCATGTTTCAACTTGTATTTTAAAAAATGTTTCTTCATATTCCGAGTCTTCTTTGCCGGCTAATCTTAACCTGCCTCCATAAAAAAATCTGTTGGGAATCAGTTTGGGAATCTGGATGGCTGCTTAAAAAACTACTTCCAGTGAAAGAAACAGTTCAAATTAAAAGATTATCTAAATCTGCCAGGAGAATGAGTGATGTTTGAACAATATGACATAATGAAAAAAATGTATTAAAACTGTACATATATAAATAACGATATGTTTATATCATATACATTACAGTTCATATTATTATTATTATTATTATTATTAATAAATATTATTATTATTACTATTATTATATATACTATGTTTTATAATATCTTATTATAATATCATGTTTATCCATTATATTTCGTTTGCAGGTTTTTCAGGGGATGTTGACTCCACGTCAATAAACTGCAAAAAAAAAAGGGAAGACAATGGTTTAATAAGATATTAACTACAAGTAATAAACAAAACTGCCTTTAATGTGAATCAAATTCCCCAACTCACTAGTGCATCAGAGCCCCTGTTGACTCGGTCCTGGTTAGAGCTAAGCTTGTTCACCAAAGCAACAGCTTCACCTTCCATCTCCAAACCTCCATCAGCAGCTCTAAAAGCAATCACAAAATGGAAGCGAGTAAGGAGAGACAGCATAGAAACAGCAACGTGTGGTATTTAGTAATTTTCTAAGCAGAGATAAAGAGCTCAGAAGTTGTAACTAATCTGTAGGCTACTGGCTGGGTGGAGAGAATCACTTAAGTTTCCCCCCTTGGACGTTTGAAGAGCAGCAGGGCCAAATGGGAGAAAAAAACATGTGAGGCAGATTGAAAACTGCTACTTTCTTAGTTTTCTCTTTGGTACCACATTTGAAGATGCAGCAACACGGCAAGTGGCAGCCTTACCGCTGATCTGGGAGCAGTGATTTTTCCTCAGCCTGAAGATGTGCAGCAGTCCCTCCATTCTCCAGCTGCTCCGTCCTGGAGAGTTAGTCAGCGATTAAAATTTATCAGACAGAAACAGGAATACAGCAAGGTGAGAACAATAGGACATTTTATTAGCTCATATCGAAATTCATGTTTATCTTGCTTTGTTTTTCAGTTTCATGCTTTGTTACATGCGGTCATTTTAAAACCTACTTTTTCATTTCTCTTCCATTAGTTCCATTATTTCCTCCTGGATCATCCCTCATGTTGCTGAAGCTGAAATAAACAACAATTATTTTTAGACAACACTGCAGGGTCATATTTAAATATTAGAATTTATAATAAACATATTATGGTAATTAATGTGCACCCGTTCACTGGTCTGTGATCAAATGGAGCGTTGGTTTTAGGAGCAGCCGTGTCTCCACTGCAAAACAGATATTAAAAATAAATTAGGTGAGTGTATAGCTATTTCAAAACTTGCCAAGGGAAGGTGGCAGTCAAACTTGTGAAAAAATACAAATGTTAATAAGTTCAATAATCACATCTAAGTGAGGTGAACATTGTCAGGAAATTGGGTCTGAGGAGCTTTGACACAAGTTGAGGATTCAATAGCTTTTAGCTGATTAAGCTCTAGATGTCCTAATGTTGATAAGTTCAAAAAGGCACACTTTGTCAGTCCTGTGGAAATAAAAATGTCTAACTGTTAAAGCAACATTCTAACCTGTTATCACTTTCAAGTGTGTATTGGTCACTTTCACCACTTCCATGTGGATCTCTTCCGTTCCTAAAATGTCCAGAATAAACTGGTTAGTTTTTAGCTTCATCAATGTCTTCAGAGAGCAGTTGTCAGCATTAATTTACCTGATGACACCGTTGTCCTGTCTCTCTAAATCACTTGTTTCAACCGTTTGGAATCCACTTCCCCTTTGGTTTCTTGAGGGTAAAATATGCACATTAAAAAGCTTAAACATGATAGCCCAAGACGGTGCAGGTTAATAAAAAAAAATATTTGAAACATCACCAACTTTAGAGTCAGAATCTCCCACTCTAAACTCATTCCGACTTATTCATTGTAGCGTATTTCTTATTTTAAATGGAATTAGGAAAACTTGTTAGGAATTAGACTCACCTACAGAAGCTGGGAGGAACCAATCTTTTGAAACAGGAAAACCTCACAGTATACATAAGATATTCTTTATTTTGTTGACTCCTTCAAAAAAAATAAAAAATAAAATACATTATTTAATCTGTAAATAGCTATTTTTTTCCCTTCAAACTAAGGTTTGACTGGTTTAATGATGGACGGGTTCTAATAAGAGTGCCTAAACTCCCAAGCCAACATTTATTTTTTCTTAATACACTTAATGCAGTGAGATCAGCACAACACTGCCGTTGCAGGTGGATATAGATGTATTATAGGCTGTCCTTTTTACATCAGATTGTCACTTTCTACATCTTGTGATTTATGGCCTCTAAGTTACTACAGGTGTTAAACATATAATGTAATGAAGCAGGGAAATACATTAGGAAGTGAAAAGCTTAATCTGTAAATAAATCCTTAAGAGTAGGGTTCTTAGTTGATTTGATTATTTTATTGATATGGAAAAAATTTAATATTCTGGACTTACCCTTTTTCTTTTTTCCAGCAGCGGTAAGATGTAACAAGGTATCCAGTAATAATAAGTACTACTACAGCAACACAACAGGTAATCACTGGGTGAGAGAAGATAAAGTAAATGTTCAGGAATAAAATGTTGAATTTCTCTTATAAACATGTGCTTTCACTAACCTTTAGGGCTCCAGTGATTTGAAGAAGGAGTCATACTCGTATTCGGTTGAATTAAGGTATCGTTCTCTGCAAGAAGTAAAGAAGTAGTATTTTCATAATAACACAGCTACACATAGCGTGATCATCTTTAATGGAATATTGTTGTATTTTTATTGGGTCTCACCACTAATGGTTGTGAACTTCTCACACTTTTCTTCAATGGAATTACTTCCCTATAAAAGAATAGAGTTCAATTTTAGAGACGTCAGGATAGTTACTCCTCATTTCTAAACACTTAAATGAAAAACGTACTTACAGTAGAGATTTCACATGTAATGGTGAGATCCTGGCAGTTTTCGGTGGTCACTGAATGGTTGTCCATTTTCTTTATATCTGGCCCATACTTGAAGGTTTGTTTGCTAAGATCAGCCAAAGCCAGTTGAGTCTGTTCAAAACAAACATGTTTACTTTCACTTTCTGTTTTTTCTGTTGTTGTTTTTTAAAAACACGGAAAAAACATTATGCTATCCTTTAAAAACTGATTCCCTACAACAAAACCTGAACTACTAAGAAGCTTAATTCATATCAACATACCTTATTTGATCCTTCAACTGAAATTTCACTTCCCTCTGGGCATTCGTGGTTAAATCTAAATCCCTCAGGTACACGTATGTCAGAGCAAGTTGCGTTTTTCATTTCACATTCTGTTAGAAATCACATAGATTGGAAATGATTATTTAAAAAATCATGCAAGGATCAACTTAACACATGGCATGTATATGCGCAAGTAGCTCAACACAGGAAGTACTTCATGAAACGATAATTAAACACGTAAAATAGAAGTCCTGCTATTTTATTACTTACTTAAGGCTCCAGTTTCGAGTCTGATACATCCCATTATAGGGATTAATACAAAAAATAAGCGTTTCATTTTGGAACAGCCAACACCGACGAAATGCCCTTTCCAAAAGGAGGACAACCAGGAAATGGATTAATAAATAGTGCCTCTTCCTCGTTTGTCTTTTTTTTGTAGACAAATCGCCTTACAAAAGTACTGCTGCCACCTTAATAGAATACAGTCATTGGCCAATATTATAACTTTGCTCTGCTATTTTAAACAAAAAAGAAAAGCAAAGGTCTACAGATTTTTTCTAGATTACAGACTGTTTCTTTAGAAACCACACTTTAGATAATGTTTATCTGTTGCTGAATGTTTTTCAGGTCCAAAACCTTAGAATATCAAGTCCCAAGAAAAAAAATCCATGAAAGCTGTTTTCAAAATAACTGAGTCAAAGACACTGTAAGGTAAATTGGCAGGCAGAAAGGTTTCATATAGGTGAGGAGGTGGTGGGGCTAGTTGGGGAGATAGCTCCTGATGCAAGATTCCCACCAACATCTCATCCGTCGCTCCCCCATTCCTGAAACATGCAACATTATGCAGTTCTAAGATGTATGGGGGTGGGATGATGGACCTTGCGTTGAATTCTTCACCTCTTTGCTCTTTGCTGTACCCCATTTTTTTTTTAGACAACACAAAGAACCTTAGGCTTGGAGAACCTCTGCTGTGGACAAGAAGTTGGGTCCCCCTAGGAAATGGTTGTCTGTGGATGGCCTTGGAGAATCTCAGAGGAAAGGTTTTTTTTTTGTTATGTTTATGTGGGGCTTAACCCACAGTGCTACATGGTGTGTCTCTATAGATCTTTGGGATGTTGCAATTTACTTGTGAGTCTAAGCGACTGAGCTTGGCTCTCATTGGACTCCCTTCCTTTATGCTTCCTTGGAGTAAATGACTGGTTGGATGTCACTGTTCCCTGGCTCTCCTGGTCATTATTTTTATAGAGGTGGTCTGATGTCTGGATTTAGAGTTTCTCCTCATTGCTTCTGGATGTTCTTCCTGCCAACCCACCCCTATTTTGAGTGTATGACTGTTGTCTGGGTAATGCAACAGTCATAACTGTGTAGTGTCTCTTTAAGATAATCTGTTATTGCACATACAGGAGACATGTGATGCAGAGCCATACAGGTACTCAGACCGACATCTTAATTCTCTATTTTTCTTAGTAATGTCACGGGTTGTTTGGACACTGCTCGTTTTTTTATGTTTGAGAATGCAGCAGCCGTTCAACCGGGCTTTGTAAGGTTGGGAAAGAATTTGTTTATTAAAGGCCAACACTGTTGAATTCCCAGTAGCAGTGTGGTTGTGAGTTGTTGACCTTTCTCTCCGTCTTTAAACGCAACCCTAAGTGTTACAGTAACTACGGCCATTAGGAACATAGGCTACTGTACCTCCCCTTCGCTGCTCTGAGTAGATGAGCTTTGGGAAGGTGTCTTCCATTAACAATATTCTAATAACTTTTAAGCTCCAGATGATAAATGTAAACACATAATGCACACATGCAGGTTCATATTTTATCGATATGGCCCAGCATATTTAATGCCAGATAAAGTCTGAATTTAAAAACTCAATCACGCAACTTTGATTGAAATTAGAGTTTTCTTTTTTGTTAAAAACTTTCTACAGGCATAAAGGCAATCAGCTAATTTGGAATCACTGAAATACAAAGTTAGAAAAAGTGGTAAGGATGCAAAATGTTATAGACACTTAACTGCTGAAATTAAAACATTTGTAATTTCACCTCCTCAGTAATAACCTTAACTTTCAATATTATAATACAACAAAATAGTCTGATTTAAAACTGGAAATGAATTGCTTTGCTTTCAGAAACACAACTTTTTAGGCAATGTTTAATGAAAAGAATTCTCAAATTTGTCTTTTTTTTTTGTTGGTGTGCGTCCTGTTTAGCGAATATAGCTCTGGGATTTGATCTTCCAAAGCTAGATGATAGCCCAACAGCTTTGCTTTCACAAGAAGGCCAGTATTACTCTTGCCATAAGGTTCTGCTTGATACCTGTATATTAAACTTTATTGAACATTATTTGAGGAGTAAAATCATATACCACAGACGTGAAGGGGGAGATGAGAGAGAAAGAGGGGATAAGAACTAAGTGGAAAGAGGGATAGAAAAGAGTGCATGAAAAGAGAGAAAATAAAACAAAACAGTAAAAATAGACAACAAAGAAGATAAACAGTAACTCCTACAAGTCTGCTACCACACCTGTTAGAGATGAGAGGGAAAGAAAACAGTGAACATAACAGTGAAAAGAAGACAACAGACAACCAAAGTAAACGTAGAAAGAGTAGCGGGTATCCTTTCCATGTGTGTCGGAGTCAAATTCGTCTTTCAAGTTGAAGTCGCTGGATATTTGGGATCTTGGGATTTTTTTCTCATTTTAAGAAAATTGAATATTAATGCAAACTATTTTTTATTTTTATTTGTTGCATTTTATTTTGTTGCATCTTTTTTAATGCAGACTATTTATCAACTTCGGTTGTTTCTGCAGGACAATTTTTTTTAGCATTTTTCTATCAACAGTAGAGGGCTTCATTATAATCACTTTGGGATCCATAATTGGTCCCAAATTAGAGTAAACCTGCTCTAAACAAAGTGCCGCTAAAATATTATACAGCTATAAACAAAGTTACTGGACCAACATTGTTTTTTTTTTTGCTTTGCTTTTTTTTTTTCTTGTTAACTGTATTTCTCTAATAAAACACATTTATCTTTTTTATGCCAGGCATTGAGAAAAGGAAGAGTGTTTTCATATTTTTCCATGACTATATTTTCTTTATAGGTTATCATGTTATCAAAGCTACTAGGCTCACTTCATCATAACAAATAAAATAAAATATATAGTTTCTGTCAATTACAAAATACAGATGCTTCATTTCCCAGCTGTGTTTTTGCTGCACGTCGCTGAGTAGTGCCGTTCACAGAGTGTTTATCTGTTACTCCTTCCAGATGGAAAATCCTCACTAAGATACACACAAACACATGTGTTTTGAACTGAATTTAGTTTTCATACCACTGATGCTTTGATTGAAACCAGGCTGCATAATTTCCTATCTAATCCTCCTGCTGTTTTATACACCAGACACAAGGGGAGGCCCTTGTCATGTGGGTCAGAGACACAAACACAAGGTCAGAGACATAAAGTCCTACTACTGCTTACTCACTAATGTATGGGTTTGTAATTTAGTGGCATGCTTTTTGATGAAATAGCAGGGCATCTATGAATCAATAAAGATTCATTGTATGGAATCACCAGAGAATAGCTTTTTCTTTTTCATCAATCCAATTCCCAGTTCTGTTTTACAGAAAGAGACACAAAACTGCGAGCGAACATAGCAAAGATAGAGGACAGGCTTCTACGGTCCAATACACAGCGTTTAGATAGCATCTTCTCTGGTCCACCGAGAAAAGACAGAACATAGTCTGTGTAACTCAGTACGGGCCTCTTTGTGTCTCCTTCACAATGTCTGCTTTTTTTCCACCTCTCCGTTCCTTCTCCTTTCTCTTTTGCCATCCTCTGTTTGTCTTGAATAATGTTATCCAGGTTATATCATAAACAGACCACCAAGTGCTACTGCCAAGTTTTCATCTCTTGTGGATAAACAAACAAAGTTATAAAGGTCAAAGATATTTACTCTCATTCATTTTTGATCGTTTTATCGTCCTTTGGAGAGATAACTTATAAAGATGACCACACCGCAACGGTTGTGGATGCCAATGTGCAAGTTTTATTTCTAGTGTAGTTTAAGTAAATCTGTGGGGTTAAAATATGTGGGAGGTGTAGTGGGGTCATCCATTGTACAAAAAATTTTGCTTAGTGATGTATTTTTTAGCTACTTTTTAAAAAATTGATTTACTTAAATTGTATCTAATAATTTTATTGCTTATTTTTATTACCATTATTTTTAATTTAACTACTGCTATCCCAGGAGTGCCTCAAAAAAGACATTTTTAATTTCAATAGGACTTTCCTGTTTTCATTAAAGTTAAATAAATGCATTAAATAAAATAATATATGCCAAAAAGTAAAATTAATTAAGCTGACAAAGATTTGTCAAAGAAGGTTAGTGAATAAACAGCATTACATAGATCAAGAAACAATGAGGACCAGGCTTCTTCAATCGTTCTCCTCAGGACCATATGTCCCGTATGTTTAAGGAGTTTTTCTCTGCCTCGTCAAACATTACTTAAATGAAATGGTAATAAACAGATCACTGCAGGTTTCAATGGGCACTGATGTGGTTATGCATTCATTTGATTAAAGTCTGGTGAAGCAGAGAAGATTTAAAACATAGAAGAGAGAGGGCCCTGAAAAC